AGTAAATCAGGTTTTGTTTCCATGTATTTCCTCAGCCACTATTTTTACTTTTTTGCCCTGGGCAGTCACAATGATTTCCACGGCAACAAATAATTGGTCATAGCTCCTTGATTGCTTTTATTTGTATTCTGATGCTGATCAAGGAAAAAACAAACTACAACCTTCTCCCAACCCAAACCACAGACAAACTAAAGTACAACTACAGACAAATTAAAGGGTCATCTTTTACTGTAAGATATTTTGGGATAACATAGCAAAACCAAGAGCCTTAGACTTAATTGAAAGAGAAAAATAGTGTTACTTCATCCCTGACTCAGGGTTTAAAATGAAAAAAAAAAACAACAAAAAAACCCCCAAACTAACCACATAGAAAAGGAAAGATACTTTATTGTCAGGCCTGATAAAGGAATCACACACACAAAAGCCTGCACTATTTTGCCAACTATTTTACTTTTAACAAAAGATAGCATCTGCTCCACACAACCTGCTACATAAACTAGAAAATTTGATTTTCCTAAAATAACACAAGAAGATCCTGCATACCTTTCTCTCAAAGGATTCTAACCTAGATGCTCAGACTCTCAAAACAGGAAATAAATCCCTGTTATACATCAGATTTCTACCTAGCAGACCCCAGAAGTTTTTTGCCTCCAAAGACAACATGATGTCCCAGATAATTGTAAGCACAATACAGGTAAAGTTTCAGAAGAATTAAGTGTCATGAATTTCTGAAGACTCCAATGCACAAAAAATACAATAAATATGGCTTTTTAGAGTCTGAATGCCATGTTGAATTTTATATATGATCTACTTTGATTTCTGCTAGAGCAAATAATAAAAGCTCTTAAATAAAATAGACCTATATTGCATATTAAATTACAAATTCTACAGAACTCAACAGTATTGTTTTGGGTAATATGAACCAAATCCTTCAAATAAATAGCAGCAGCCTCAAGAATATAGCTCAACTTTAAACTTGGATAGAAATAAGCAGTATTTCAGAGTTTCACTTCAAATATCTTCTTTTCAAATATGAAATAAGCATCCAAATTAAATTAAAAAATGGGTTTCATATAACAAGCTTTCATAGTTGAGACACAAGCACTGAGAACAAAACAATAACACTTCTACCTAGAAAACAGTAAAGCAACAGAATCTACAACAAAAATTATTAGATAACTAGATCATGTGTATTTATTACATTTGTAGTTAAGTCTTATAAAACATCTCAGAGTAGGTAAAGGTGGTTTCATTTTTGCTTATATTCCATTTCTCCTTATATTGCACTAGATGGTGCAGAAAAATACTCAATCAAATTCACATTTAAAGGGTTACCACAGACTCTCAATTCATGGAGTCTTCCCCTCTAGTGAGATAAGAGACAACTCACTTATCTCTTAGTCCTGGATTACACAAGGTCTGAAACACATGTTTTGTAAGTGTTCTGATCAAACCTGTACTTTTAGGTTATTAAAGCTATTAGGTTATTAGAGCTCATTCCATCACTAGTAATTGTCAGTGCTCAAGATGGCCATTTTAATAATGCAAGGAAGAGTTACGTATTAATGATGAAGCCCTAAGTAATTCAGGCCACGTATAGATAGCTGCAAAGATCCCTGCCGGGAATTTTTCCAAACCAACCCCTTCACTATGTGGCAGATCAGTTATTATTTAAGACCGTCTTAACTTCTTCCTAGCAATTTTATTAGCTACATAGGAGTTAATGAAGAAGTTAATAATCAAGGGTACCACATAAAATGGACCATGAAGAACTAAGAAGACACTATAAAGCTCTATAAAACTATGAGATTTGATATACAAAAGAGTCCAGATTTACTTCCAATACCAAGCCCCTAAGTTAACATTGTATTTGTACATCCAAAGCAAAGCATTCATAAGTATTTCTTCTTTGAACAGCAGCTAAACAACTCATCTAAAAAAGGTACGATAAAGAATTTATAGGAACCATAACAAGTTTGGGGTTTTTTTTTGGTTTTTGTTTTTTTTTTTTTTTTAAGGAACCAGAAAATCCCCAAAGTCTCCATATCTGCTCAACTGCCTGTAGGACCATAGGAAAGATATATTAAATGTGTTACGTTGCTCAAATCAAGAAAGCCCTCACACCATCATTACTTGTATCTACGACACCTTATTTCCCATCACACATTTGTTAGAGAAACTGCCTGGGCAAGGTGACTGAGCAATATAGCCTTCCTAGAAACACACCTGTAAGATTGACAAACAACGCTCAGGTTAGCTGATTTTCACTGCATTATTACCAATAAATCTGCCCTATTAAAACTTCCATGTCACCAAGGTTACATAAGGCCTGCATACCAAGTTCATCGTGCAAACTGCTACCGCCTACAGCAGATGCAGTGGCATGTGATGCTTCTAAGTGGACACTCCCATTTCTCACCAGCAAGGAGGCGCTAGCGCCGGGCACAGCTGCCTGGGAAGGGGGGCAGGACTGCACTCTGACCTGGCAGGAGCACTGCTGGCCTTGCTGACCATCTTGAAGGCTACGAGAAAACACGCATTGGGGACACATTACCAAGAAGAAATGAAAAAGAGCCAGAAGTGAAGCAAAACAAGATTTTTCAGTTTAAAGAGGAAAACTTTTTTTGAGATAGTAGCATTAAGTAGCCAACAGTTAGTGTTAAAGTAACCCCTACATTCTGTGTAAGAGAGTATTTAGGCCCTAGTTACAGCAGTAATTTAGAGATACTGTTCCTGTCAACTTCTTAGTAGTAGTATTGCTGTCTAAGATCTCCTCAGGTCATCCAACAGGTATATTCTTCTGTGTCTTAATTTGTGGGTGCAAAAGCAAATTACTCCCCATTAGTTTAACTACTGACTAACCTGAGGTATCACTATATTTACTACTGACTATTCCAGTCTTCTCACAATCACTGGGGTCCTTTTTTCTTATTCCAGTATGACCTGATCAACTGTTTAGGGCTTTTTTCTAAAGACACAGAGAAATCACCTTTCTTGTTATTAATTCATACTAACTAGAAAAAGTCTTTAAGCTTTGTTAATAGCCATATGATACCACAGACCTAGATGCAGATAACTGAAGTAGTATGTCTGGATTCGGAATTATTTTGAACATATTAAGACTCTCTATACAAAGTTATTAATTGGCAAAAGTTAAGTCAATTCAAAGTTATTTTGAAGTAACATCCAAAGCTTTATTACTCACCAAAAAACAGGTTTTAAAAGTCAACCTGGCTTTCAGAGAAATTTGTACATTTCTCATAGTCATGACTGCACAGTGTTTGAAAATGTTAATTCTCCTCTTCAGACTTGCAAAATTAACTTTATTAAGCTATTTACCAAAGTTAGGTTTTTTTAATAACTTGTTTAATATTAGGTATGACAAAGTGTCAGAGTACATTATGTTTACAGTTGATATCATACCATTATTCCAAGAGCTGTGGTTTTGTTATCTTTCATTTTGTGGATTTAAAGAACTTACATTATACAGTCATTAGCTGAGGCATTATCTTCGATAAAAGATTTTGTATTTTAAAGACTGGAAAATAGCTTCAACACTCTTTTGAAAAACAATATGCATCACCTGTTGCTTTTAACACTTCACTGTTTACAGCATGATGCTAGAGTTGGCAAATGAGGCAACTAAAAAAAACAAGATCTTACTAAGAGTTGAAGGGTTATATCTGCTGTACTTGCTCTTAACAGTATTTTCTACATCATCTACTTTTCAGTTCTTTTGTTAGAGCATCACTGGAAAACAAAATATGGATATAAGAATAGCTGTTAAGAAAAGCTCATGCAAAATAATGAAGACATGCACTCAGCTCAGAAGAAAAGAACTGCAACTCATTATTCACTGTGTTCTACCATTTTAATCTGAAATTTAAATTCAGTGTTTTGCTGCAGTACACAAGACTTTCAGTGAGCTATGCAGCAACAAAAGCCCTAGGGAAGTTCAGGGATGTGTCAACCTTCACTGCCTTCCTTAAGCAATACCAAACCAATGCTAAAAAAATACTGCTTTTCTATAAATAGCAGGTACGTATCAAGAGGTATAGACACAGCTGCTCTTTTAATAGCTATCCACATATGTCACAATTAAAAAATCCTAGCAAAATACTGATGCCAACCAATTGCAAAGAAAACAGGCTTATTCTCTCCCTGATTATTTTAAGAATAAAAATTCTGCTTCATACAGTCACTTACATACGTGAATACATGATTGACTACATGGGATACCAATGAACATTTATTTTTGAAGTGCCCAAAACACTACTGACAATTAGACAGGACAAAAGCAGGGGTGGATGGTGTTTTATGGTACATTTTGGGTTTGTTTTTTAGGTTACAGGGTAAAATAATCTTGTGTCTAATTTAGCACCAAACCAGCAGAACTTACTAGACCAGATTTGACTTGTCTACCACTGCCAAAGACACACATATATAATGCCACTGTCTCTTTTACTAAGTATTTCACAGAGGAAGTGAAAAGTAATTGCAATCATGGATAGGAAATTAAAAAAGAAATCAGGTTTAACTCAACAGGTTCTAGGGAACATTCCCCCAACATCCAATTTTATGACAGAGTTAGTTAGAAGATTAGAGATTAAAGTTTTGCTGGCAAGAATAAGAAACATATAACATCAGGGCAGCTAAAGATTAGTAAATCTGACCTTTTTAGAAGTTTAATATCTGAAGTCATGGATTAGCAATATCAGAAACTAGACTGGGGCAGCTCACTAACAGCACACAGGCAGCTCACTAACAGCACACAGGC